CGATCGATCAAGATTAAACTTGGTTTAATCTTAGATAAAGCTTAATCGCTTAAAATTTAGTATCAGTGCCTGGGCAAGTCTGAATAATTTAAAGCTAAACGCGATGAAATCTCAGGCCATTATTGTAGGTTCCAGTTTTATTCTCTCCTTCCTTTCTCCTTTAGTCATGAACCATCATCCCATCACATTTATCTCCTCCAATAAAAACCTAGGTATCACCATTGACGAAAACCTCTCCTGAAAACCCTATATCTTATTTTATTTTATTTAAACCCTACCCTGCCGATAAGGCAATACGGGTGTTATGTTGTAGCAAAGCATACGCTACAACTCACTGCTGCATTCAGACCAATTACATTAATTTTCATTTTTTTTTTCAGCTGTGCACACAGCCTGCTCTTTTTTCTTTTTAGCCAACGTCCTCTTCCACCCTCTCTGGCGGTTTTCCAAATGCAGGTTCATTTCTTCTTCCCAATGAAAAGTGGGTTGATGACCAACAGGTTTTACGCCTTCACTATTCAACAACCAACCAACCAACGTTTCATGTCGAAGAGTAAAACTAATGTGTTGGGATATTTCTTAATTGAGTTGAATTTTTCAAAGTTTGTACCGATCATTTGGTCTTGTTAGGTGATATTGTACAATCTGTGAGGCGTGTGTAGGATTTTTATGCCTAGTTAAAATTGTTGTATTGTTTGCGTAGTTCGTCTGCAATAGTCCCGGTACTGTTCGAAATATCTGCAATATTTGATTCGTTTTTTCCCTCAAGAATCATGAACCGCTAATTTTAAAGCACTTAAACAATTCTTAGCAGTCATAGGGCGCTCTGAAGTCCTCTGAGATGACTAAGTCTTTCTCAGAAGTTTTCTCCAAGACTTTAATCGTAGCAGTTCCTCCATCAAGTTAATGAACTTTGGTTCCCACAGCTTGGAACTGATCGCAGTTTTATTCCTTAAGTTTACTAGCTATCTCTCCTTGGGATTAAGTATGTCTTTACTTGAATATGACTGGTAATAAAGGAACAGATTTAGATTTTTTATCTACTTTGAATCAGGAAGTAATTATTGTTATTAGGGAATTAATGGTTTTGTAAATTGAATGTTTTCTTTGCTAGATGCCATTGTTACTAGTCATAACTAGGAATCTGGTTAATTCTACAATGCTGCCATTACACCAGTGCCAAACCTGTCAAGGTGGATTTTGGGTGTTCGAAGTCGGCAAATCAAAAAATTGTTTCTGAATATGAAATTGATTTAACCAAATTACGTTATTCATTTAGTTAAAAGAGGAATTCAGCATTAATTATACTTTTTTATTTGGTATTTCGATTTAATTTTATTAATTTAGGTATTGAAGTTAAGTTAGTTTTATAATTTTTAGTCGAAAACAATTAATTGAAAGCCATCAGATGAGGTCTACCGCTGGGTTTTTTATCTGATTTAGAACCCTTAAAATATGTCTGTATCTATTTTTTTATGCTACATTTTAGCACCTCCAGCTCTACATCGAATGAGTCGAAATCCGAAATGAATACAGAAATTTTTCGTGTATTTTTACGTCTAATATGTATACCTTTACTGCACTTCTCAGTTATTAGAAACTATTGTTAATTTTTTAATTTTTAACTACTCTTACCGTTCTATCTATATTTTACACATCTTCCTGGAAAGATAGTGGAATAGCATTGTATCAAATCACCTTTATTAAACTTAGTCATAAACCTATGACTTCATTGCCTACATTATCTTTTAATAACAATAATACTTATCCCTGTTGAACAAATCTGATACGTAGGACTTCAATTTCCGTAACGAAAAGAAACTGCTCGACATTTCCGACTACTTCAGCACTTATTAGACAAACACTCTAAGCTTTCTATTAATTACAAAAGTCACTCGTATACACGACTATAATAAGGCCTATTCGGGCTTACGCAGTTGAGCTTTGTGGATCCATTAAGCCATTGAATTCCTTTCGTATCCGATCCTATCAATATAAAATCCTCAATGCTCCTTACTTTTTCACAAATAAATCGACGTTCCATATGTCTCCGATTTGGCCCAATACAGATATCTATCCATTCGAACACTCTCGTTTCTAACCTCGATTCCTATTCGATCCCTATTAACTTCCGAGGCGTCTGAAATGAAGATGGCCTCGTGATCTGCTAATGAAAAACTTTTATTTGAGTGCTGCCTATGGGTAGTTCCTCTACAAGTATTGTCATGTTCGCATTTACTAGATATATTTTTATTTTAATACAAATTCGCATTGTATTTTCTATGTAATATAGTTGTAAATTTCATTAAAATAGTAAAAAAAAAAATAAAAAAATTTTAATACAACTTAAATTTCAGAAAAAAAAAGCTATGATGTGTACTCAAGAACACACCATAGAAGTGGTCAAAAACGTCACAAAGATGAGATTAATAAAACAATTTTTTTTTCCGTATTCACGAAGTAAATGACATTTAATTTTTTTTTCTTTGGCATTTCAGACCAGATAGATGTTTTGCTTCCTTAACAAGCCTGCTCCATCTTTGTCTGTCTTGGGCTATTTCTTTCTATTTACCTACACGCAACTGTGATGCATCTTTTTTGGGGGGGAGAGGGTCCCCCATTTCCTCGCCTTTTAAGGCTATACGTGGTTTTCCCGGGTCAGGGGGTGAGGGCGGGGATTTTTAAAAGACCGAGCACCGGGACGCAAACTCGTGACTATTTTTATCCAGTTATCTTATGTGTAAGGTTGTATCTGTTGCATCTTTGTTGATTCTATCTATCCATCTGCTTTTTGGCTTTTCACCTGGTCTTTTGCCTTTTACTGAGGCATTCATTGTTACGTAGAGGCTTCCAGATGGATCTGCTACTAGTTTAAATGTTCCGCCCATTTTAACATCTGTGCCTTCATAACACGAGGTATTGATTGACCAGTTTCTGTAAGCTCCATAACCTCCATGTGTTAGTACTTCGATCTCAGATCACTCCTGTTATCGTGCGGAGAATTTTCCTCTCAAATCTTTCCGCACTTTTTTCTAGTATGCTGGTCTATATTCACAAAGTAATAGCATTTACAACTTATAGAATCATAATTGTGTATAAATTAGTCTGGTAAATTATTCTTTCTGATGAACTGTTGTATTTTGACGCGAGGCCGCGTTAGAAAGGCAATAAGGAAAAAGAGATATTACAAAAACCAAATGATCACGAGTTTTTATTAATTTTTTTTGTCCTTTATTTTTTCCTTTTCGATTCTCTAACTTGGCATCACGTCAAAATACAATTTTGGATTATAGCTCATTACAAATAGAAATAGAAATAGAAAATCATCTTTATTCTGAGACTAGGTCCCTTAAGAATAACAATATTGTTTAAACCAATTGATAATAAATCTTGCCAGATGACCAATTATAATAACGGGTAACTACAATCTAAGTAATAAAGTGAGTATATAGATAGATAGATAGAAAAATAATTTTATTCTGGGACACAGTCCCTTGAGAACATCAAAGTAGAACAAAATTAAAAGATCACATCTGGCCAAAATAAAATCAATCGAAAAAAAGAAATAATGTAAAAAATATATAAGGTAAACATTCTATATATAAAAAACGAAACTATATACAAAACAATTAATACTATGACAAGGCACTTAATAGTATTAATAGTATGCACTGATAGACTCGTATACACTTTTGAGAAAATAATAAAGAATTAAAATTAAAAATGTATCAATGAATTTGTATGTATGAAATTCTCTATTAAAATCAGCTCGAATGGTTAGGAACTATCTGACTGTTCTTGGGATAGGAATTGGAATAGGAGGGTTTTGAATTTGGATATGGATAGGGAATGTCGAATTTTGATAGGGAGGGAATTTCAGAAATTGACAGAGCGAACAACAAAGGAATTTTGGAATGAGGCAGATCTGTGAGAAGGCATGTAAAGATTAGAAGGTCGAGATCTTGTGGACAGGGAATGGACTGAGGATTTGAACTGGAGAAGGTTGTAGGCGTAAGAAGGACGATGGCTGTTGATGATTTGGTAGAGGAACGTACCTAGGAAATATTGTCTTCGGAAGGAGGGGAAGAGCCACTTTAACTCAGCGTAGTGGAGAGAAACATGGGAGTATCTTGGGGCCCCGATCACAATATACATAGTTTTGTAGGGTACATTAAGGAAACCAGATGGGTATAAGGGTTACAATATTATAATATTGGTACAAAAACAACAACATACTGATAACTAAATAAAATTGGAAAAAAAATCTAAATAAGTTTTATAGGTAATTAATTTTAGTGCTACAGTATAATAAAAAAAATAAAGAAAAGAATAAAAGAAAAGAACTATAGTAAATAAATGATTTATTTATATGGTGAAAGAGGGGGAAATGCCTCTCTTACAGTTAGCAGCAGTGCGGACAATTGACCCGGCGCGCGGACCTAGAGGAGCGTCCATCGAGGGCACCGATCATCAGGGCCACTTGTTAGAAATTAAAAAAAAAAAAAGTATTTAAGCAAAACAAATAAGTAAGCATGTTCAAATTTTAGTTTTCGAGATATTTTCACTCAAAAGATAAAAAAATTCATCATTTGGTTTTTGACAATATCTCTTTTACCCTTTTGATTCTAATACGACATCTTGTCACAATACAATTTGTAACTATAGCTCTTTACAAAGAGGATGAAATGTTGAACATTTCCCTCGGTTGCGGTATGCATGTCCGATTTTTAGTTTCTGAGATATTTTAATCCAAATAACTAGTCGATTTGAGCCTACTTTACACGAATGAGCGTTACATAGCCGAGCTTGACGGCTCATTCTCATTCACTACCCACAAAAAAGGTGCTAAGCTACCTTAAAGTTCAACTTACTTACTTCAAAAAGTTAGACTTGAGATCTGGTAGGCCAGCCAGCTAGGCCCGAGCCCCGGACCCCCAGAGAAAGCCCCCGCCAGCACGAACGGCCCGGAGAGGGGACGCCTTACGTAAGAAGGGGGTAGAGCCTGCTCGGCGGTACAGTGGTGGCGGTGATGTCGGTGCAGAACTTCAGCCTGGCGTCGGCGAGCGGGGTCCCGGGCTACCTGTACACCCGGGTGACGGCCGGGTCCCCCTCGGGCCGGTCCACGCTCCACGCGGTCCTCGACTACGACGACGACCTCCCCACCGGTCCCGGCGACTACGACGCCACGATCGACGGTCCCAAGGGACCCATCGTCTTCAAGAACGGCTCCCTCCCGGTAGTGCCCCTGTACTCCTACGGCACCCAGCAGACCGGCAACGGCAGCCTCGTCCACATTCCGGTAGGTACCTTTAGGTTCACTTATCGTTATAATAATCTACGAGACCTGTGCAAAAAGTATCCTATATATTATTTCTAAAAGGTTTTTTTTTTTTTTTCGGTACGCCATAACTTCGTCAATTCTTCATAAAATCCAATGATTGACCACTCATTTTGAAGATATTCTTGTCCTTCGCATGCGAAAAATAGTCCCATTCCTCGGAAATTTCTGGGGAAAAATTATGGAGGAAAAGAAAATTTATTTGCGAATAACTCAAAAAGTATGCATTTTTTTCTTGATTGTACCAATGATAATTAGAAAGCTTACTAAATTACCTACAAAACAAAAAACAAATTTTAAATCTATTAGAAATTTGTTTTTTCCTACTCATTTGCCCTAAGGGAGGAGCCATTGATATTTTTTCCAAAATCACAAAACGTTTTATAACTTTATAATATTCTTCCACCTATAACTCAAAAAGTATCCATTTTTTTCTTGATTCTACCCATGAAAGTTAGAAAGATTACTAAATTATCTACAAAACAAAAAAAATATCATAAAAATCTATTAGAATTATGTAAAATTTAATAAATTTTTTATTTACGGAAAGAGTAAAGTGTGTTGAAATATTTTTTTAAGGAGGAAGAGAGTTGAGATTTGTATTTCGCAGCTCGAATACGAATTTAATTTTTCGTAACAAAAAATAACGAAAGTGCGATCGAAAAATAATTTTTCTTTTCCTACTCATTTGGCCTAAGGGAAGAGCCTTTGATATTTTTTTCGAAAACCACAAAAAGTTTTATAACTTTATAATATTCTTCCACCTATAACTCAAAAAGTATGCGTTTTTGTCTCGATTGGACCTTGTATTGTATGTATTCTTTAGAAAGATTAATAAATTACCTACAAAACAAAACAAAAATCGTAAAAATCGGATTATTAACAAAGATACAGTCTATTAGTTTTGGTATACTTAATAATGTCTTCCTGTTTAAAGATATTGCATTTAGGAGTAGAATATTCTACTTCATTTGTTTTTCCTAGCTGACGTATTAACTTTATTATTTCTTAAAGACATTTAGGTGTTCTTACAGTTTATTTTTTTAATAATTTAGATTATTCCATGATCGGGTCATTATTTCGTCTTTATTACTTCTATTATCTTTCTAGTAGCATTTTAAAAATAGGTCCTAGCAAAACAATTCGTACAAATATTTTGGTTTATTATTTTTAATGAAATATTGTAATCAGTTAAATAAAAAATATTAATTCCTTCCTTACATAATACATAGGAACTACTTAATTCTATGTTGTGTTACTATTTTATCACTAAACAAAATTGTCTGCGAATTTTTAGCACGGGCCAACTAGTTTTAATTATTATTATATAATACATTAGGGTGAACGCACCAATTACGGACAGGGTACCCAGTGATGGACAGGTTGGAATTTAAATGTAAATAATAAGCTTCCTTGTTGATTTAAAGGTTCCAGTTTTTCTATATTAAAGAGCAATGCCTTCTATTGACAACTGTATGAATAAAGTTCCTAAAAGAAAATTTGAACATTTATCTTATCTTATCTGTATCGTGATCTTTATAGTTAAATTAAGATTTTAGAATTTTTCTGAGGCATGTCCATAATTGTTACCGACCCCCTATCCATTTTTAGAACAATTAAATTTCTAGTGTTCATCACTAGTGCAAAAAAAGTGTTGTTTTTTTTTTTCAAATGGAGATTATACCTGCATGACTGTATATTTATTCAATTTTCGATGTCCAACGGAGATATTTATAACTATAATAATTACGGCGGCATAAACCAAAAAAGACAAAATATTCCTTAACTATGTCCATCGCTGGTGCGCTTACTCTATTAAAAATTCAAAGTATAAATTTTTTTTCACTTTTATTTTTCTTTCCGCAACTGATGAAGTATAATTTAAACATCATACACATCACAAAAAAACAATATTATTACTTATAATATAAAAGTATATAAACGTTTAAAACTGTGTATAGTAAATAAAAATAGCATAACTGGGTCTCCAAGCATAGGCCCGCGGGTCTTATCTGGACTCGTAAAAGTTTGATTAAATGATAAAATTTTAAAAATATTAAATTAAATAAAATCACTTAAACGTGATGTTATTACAATTTTTTTTGCACCAGTTATTCGTTATAGAAAGTCGGTTACAGTAAATTTTTTTTTCATCAATAACCATAGCCCGCGGAATTTACAAGTGGACGCTATTATCAATGGGTCACTGATTTTCGGTGATACTACATCGAAAATATTTGACACATGTCTTAGTATTCGTTCCTTTTTATAGTGAGCTCTTGGAGCCACGAAAAAAAAATATTTTGTATAATTTCAAACAAAATTTATGTTAATTATTTTTACCTTCGTTTTCTCAGCAATTTAGGTTATTATATATTAATCGATTTCTTTTTTAGAATAAGAAAAAATGTCTATAGTATTAAATGAGTTATTATGAATCATACATTACAAAAGTCAAAAGGCGCTTCCAGTAAACTAGGCCGAGTAAATTTGTGTTATGTAAAAGCAAGTTGGATTCGTTTTTAGTGGCCTTTGAAACTCTTATAGGCCTGTATTTCATTTAATATTATTTCTGAACAATTTATAATAAAACTGATATTTTATCAAATTATTTCATTTTCAACATTTATAGGTATGCCTGCGTCTAAGATGTTTATTTTCATTACTTTTTTTTTTTCCTCATTATATTTTATTTTGTTCTTTTGTAGCTTTATATTATTTGAAGTTAGCTTATTTTTTTAATTATTTTTTTTCTTAATTTGTAAATATGGTGTGAATGTGCTCTCAGAACTCTATTATAAATGTCCTTTATTGAGTAAGATTGTAATGCTTATCAATAAAAAAAAAAAAAAAAAAAAATTTCAACATTCAACAAAAGTATTACATAAATTAAATCCTTCCATCTTCTTTGCTAAAAACGAATTAAAAATATTATTAAAGAAAAATAATAGGAATTATTTCCGACCTAAAAATCGGTTCGTCTAGAACTTATTTGTTCATTTAACATAATATGCTGTTCTACCCTTTCTTATGATAATAAGATGATTAGATAATACTGCAATATACTTCAGAGAGGATGGGATGGGGAAGGTAGTTTGAATATCTGTTTCATTAAAAAATTAATGCTTTGACAATTTTACTAATCACTCATTTCTCGATCAGAAAATTCGCTCAATCGGTTATGATAAGAAAATGGTATTAATGTGAGATTTGTTGTTTACCATAGTTCTTCTGGCAGTTTTTATAATTTATTTTATGATTCTCTTATAAATAAATTAATTAGTTATTACTTTACATCTAGATATGCTGCCTACGTATAATCTTGCATTTTAATTTTGGCGTATATTTCAGGAAAGTAATGAATGAATAATTAAAGTATTCAACAGTTTCAGATAATTAAAGCTTTAAGATTGGCCATTTTGTATTTTAAAATATTTCTTTTTAATACTATCGTATTCTATTTTCTACTAATTAACGAAAGATTAATAACGCTGCCTTGTCTTTACACGAACTCAGCGAATTAATAGAAATCGTGTTAACTAAATTTTTGTCTTGTTGTAAGACGAACTAGTTCGATTTATACGGTTGCCTAAAAGATTCTCTGTACAAATCTTAAAAATGTCAAGCAGAAAGACTCAAGCATTAAATTAAAGATATTACGATTTTTAGTTCATAGTGTTTATTTTTAGTTCATTATATGAGACTTAGTATGTGTTATGTTGAGACATATGCTCATATATTTATTTTTTTGATTATTATTTCTTCTCATTCACCCCTTTTTAAATGTTAATAATAAAATCTTTATTTATATTTTTTTTGTAAAAGGCCAAGGGCCAAGGGCCAATAATCCCTCTAACTTTTACAAAGAAAATAGTTATATAAATCAACATTAAAAAAGGGATTATGTGCAAAAATAATAATGAAAAAAATAAAGATATGAGCATATGCGCCATTAAAACATATTATGTCTCATATAATGTCAAGAAAAAAATCGATTTTTAAAGACAGAAATGTCGTTTTGGTTAGACCAGCGCAAAATATATTTTAAATATTATTTTAAAATACAATAATTAAAATACCTTATGTTAATTAAATAAATAGAGAGCATTTTAATTATAAAGTATTTAAAATCAGACGTGTCCGTACTGCTTCCGACAGTTCCACCTGAAACGTCCTGAAGACCTACAATGTTGGTCGAAACGTTGGAAAATTTAATAAAACACTATTATATAATATAGCATTATGTTTTTACCGCACCCACGACCAACTTCTTCTTACAATAAAGTATTTAAATTTTTCTCACTAAAAGTAGTTTAAATACAACATACTGAAAGTATTTTAATAACTAAAATATACGAAATATTTTTTTCGTTTAGGGGACGTACTCTATTTTGTTATTTATTTGTGTGTAAAACATATTTGTTGTATTTTAGTATCTCGGAAATAAAATTCAAATATTTTTTGTATTTTAAAAAGAAAATACAGTCAATAAAAATCTATTTTATACTTTACTTCTTGAAAGGCAAAATACATAAAATGTATTTTAAAATAGTTTCTTTAAAATACTCCCCAAGTAGTTTCTAGAAAATATACCTGGAAATGCATTGTTGTTAGCGTGACTAAGAAATTAGTTTGCGTTTTAAAAAATGCGGTAACGAGTGATTATTCTGACGATGATAAAATCTGTTCATCCTCTACGGCAGATGAATTTATCGTAAACACAGCTGTATAACAAACTAAAATGATATATTTAGAAAACTTAGGCAAATAAACTTTTCAAAATAAAAACGAATATATTAAATTAGTTTCCTTGATTGCAGTAATCTCTGAACACTAAAAAAAATTAGGATTTATTTTAATCATTGAAATTTTTAAATTTGTTGTTAACAATAATTGATTGATGATTTTAAAATTAAAAGAAGAGAAAGTGTTTGTATGCTGCACTGTTTGAGATCCAATTA